ATAGACAATAGCTAAAATAGGTAGAATGGTTGATGATAGATGAATAGATAGAAAGAAAGATCTGGAATGATAGATAGACAATAGCTAAAATAGGTAGAATGGTTGATGATAGATGAATAGATAGAAAGAAAGATCTGGAATGATAGATAGACAATAGCTAAAATAGGTAGAATGGTTGATGATAGATGAATAGATAGAATGATAGATAAAGATCTGGAATGATAGCTAGATAGACAATAGATAAAAGATAGGTAGAATGGTAGATGATGGATGAATTGATAGAATGATAGATAATATATCCATGATAACTTATTGGTTAGTGTGGCAAATTTGATTTTCTTTTTCCTTGTAGAGATTGCTCCTAATTTGTCTGTATATCACCCAGAGTTTCTGAGTCTTGCTCGGCCCTCCGAGTTGAACAAATGAACGAACAGACGTATGAATGATGAAGCAAAGAAATGAAACATGGAGAGCGTTACCTCGCGAGGCACTTCTCTTCCGCTGCACAACGGAGTGAGTAGAGGTGAGCTCTCTGAACATACGTGGACGCTTGGACATAGTTTGGGTCAGGTACAAGATCAGGGAGCCCTAGGGAGGCAAGCAAGGATTGGGAAAAGCTGAGAAAGTAGGAGGAAAACCATACCATCAATGAGAAGACACCAGGATTCAGTCAAGGTCCAACAGACTTTTGCTGGTCTGACTTTCTAAGTTCTCCAGAACAGAAGGCCATCATTCTATGGCCGTTCCTCTAACCCAGGGGTAGTCAACCTTGGCTCTTTTATGACTCATGGACTTCAACTCCCAGAATTCCTAAGCTGGCTCAGGAATTCTGGGAATTGAAGTCCACGAGTCATAAAAGAGCCAAGGTTGACTACCCCTGCTCTAACCTGCTAATCTAAACCGGAACCTTTTTAAAAAAATGAAATATCAGACAATATATTTGCATATATTGGGCATTGTATGAGAGCCAGCTTGGTTTACTGCAGGAGTCTCCAAACTTGGCGACTTTAAGACTTGTGGACTTCAACTCCCAGAATGCTTCAGCTAGCCCTGCTGGGGAACTCTGGGAGTTGAAGTTAACAAGTCTTAAAATTGCCGAGTTTGGAGACTGCTGGTGTAGTGGTTAAGGCACCAGGTTGGAGAGATTTTTAAAGGGTGACTGCAGGATAGGGTTACAAAAAAAAAGACAGGAAAGTGGAATGCATAGAAAGCAGCTGGAGCTATGATTATAGCTGTCCGTTTGACAGCTATTTGACCACATCTTTGGATAGTTCAAGAGAAGCAACCAGACTGAGCAAAAAAAAAAAGATGGTGACTCTCATCAATTTCTCCCTAAACAAAATAAAAGAATAACAGAGTTGGAAGGGGCCTTGGAGGTCATCTAGTCCAACCCCCTGCCCAAGCAGGAAACCCTATCATTTCAGACAAATGGTTGTCCAGTCTCTTCTTAAAAACCTCCAGTGTTGGAGCATTCACAGCTTCTGGAGGCAAACTATTCCATTGATTAATTGTTTGAACACTCAGGAAGTTTCTCCTTAGTTCCTGGTTGCTTCTCTCTTTGATTAGTTTCCCTCCGTCGCTTCTTGTCCAGCCTTCAGATGCTTTGGAGAAGAGTTGACCCCCCCTCTTCTTTGTGGCAGTCCCCCAAATACTGGAAGACTGCTATCATGTCACCCCTAGTCCTTCTTTTCATTCAACTAGATATACCAAATTCCTGCAACCGGTCTTCATATATTGTGGCGACCAAAACTGGATGCAAGAAATGTACACAGACTTTCTAACCTTCCCATCCCGCACTTTTCTATCCTTCTGTGTAGTCTGAGGCGTCCTTCCCCAAAGTACATAAAGACACCCCCTCCCCAAAGGGCTGACTCTTGTCTCCTTAAGAGAGGGGCCCTTGCTAGGTGCAAAGAGATGCTGACAAGCCACTTCATTCTGTCCCCCCCTCCCCATTTGTCTGAAGAGCGAAGAGACTCTTGGCGGAAAAAGAACTGAGCCAGCATGCAAATGAGATTAAGTCAAGCTGGATCCCAAAATCCTCTGCTGTGGATTTTGACAGGCGCCCCGCACCACCTCCCCCCGAACTGTTTTTCCACAAGCAAAAAAAAAAAGAAAAAGAACAATGCCTTCTTGTTTTCTCGGACTGATCTCCACTGAGGGATCACGTCACCAGTTTAGCTCTCGTTTCCTGTCTCTTGCTTGATCATTTCTGCTGATGTCAGCCATGGGGCAGAGCCTTACTTTAAGAGAAGTCAAAGGAGGATTGGAAGGAAGGTTGGGGAGGGAGGAAAAAAAAACACCCGTTTTTGGTTTGTTTGAGTAGAGCTGTCTGCACAAAAATAAAATAATAATCCAAGGGGAGACTTCTTCTTTCTGAGACTTCTTCCATCACTGTCTAGATCAGGGGTCCTCAACCTTGGCAACTTTGCTGGCTGAGGAATTCTGGGAGTTGAAGTCCACAAGTCTTAAAGTTGCCAAGGTTGAGGACCCCTGGTCTAGATGGAGGAATGCTCACCATTAGGTGATGTGAAACTTAGAAAATAGAATAATAGAATTGGAAGGGGCCTTAGAGGTCTTCTAGTCCAACCCCCTGCTCTGGCAGGAAGCCTTATACCATTTCAGACAAATGGCTGTCTAGTCTCTTCTTGAAGACCTCCAGTGATGGAGTACCCACAAGCTCTTCCACTGATAGATTGTCATCACAATCAGGAATTTCTCCTTAGTTCTAAGTTGGATTTCTCTTTTATAATCTCCCATCTGTTACTTCTTGTCTTGCTCTCAGGTGCTTTGGAGAATTAACCGACTCCCTCTTCTCTGTGACAGCCCCCCAAATATTGGGAGAGGGCTATCCTATCACCCCTAGTCCTTCTCCTTATTAGAATAGACATCCCCAATTCCTGCAATCATTCTTCATATGTTTTAGCGTCCAGACCCTTCATCATCTTTGTTGCTCCCCACATTACAAAAAAGACGTTGAGACTTTGGAAAACATGTAGAGAAGAGCAACGAAGATGATTAAAGGCCAGGAGACTAAAACATATGAAGAATGGTTGCAGGAACTGGATATGGCTACTCTAGAGAAAAGAAAGACTAGGGGTGACATGATAGCAGTCTTCCAGTATTTAAGGGGCTCAAAGAAGAGGAGGGGCTCAACTTATTTCCCAAAGCACTGGAAGGCAGGACAAGAAATAATGGATGGAAACTAATCAAGGAGAGAAGCAACCTGGAATTCAGGAGAAACTTCCTAACAGTGAAATAATTAACCAGTGGAAAGGCTTCCCTTCAGAAGTTGTGGGTGGTCCATCACTGGAGGCTTTTAAGAATTCCTGAGCCAGCCATGCTGAGGGGAAAGGGAGTGGTTTCCAAACTGAGCCATGTTGGCTCAGGAATTCTGGGAGTTGAAGTCCGCGAGTCATAAAAGAGCCAAGGTTGCCTACCCCTATCCTAGGACGAAGATTAAGAGCAGGGGTCTTCAAAAGAGCAGGCCCTTTTATGACTCGTGGATTTCAACTCCCAGAATTCCTGAGCCAGCATGGCTCAGCTTGGAAACCTCTCCCTTTCCTCTCAGCATGGCTTGCTCAGGAATTCTGGGAGTTGAAGTCCACAAGTCATAAAAGGGCCAAGTTTGAAGACCCCTGCTCTTAATCTTCGTCCTAGGATAGGGGTAGGCAACCTTGGCTCTTTTATGACTCGTGGACTTCAACTCTCAGAATTCCTGAGCCAGCCATGCTGAGGGAAAGAGAGAGGTTTCCAAGCTGAGCCATGTTGGCTCAGGAATTCTGGGAGTTGAAGTCCACGAGTCATAAAAGAGCCAAGGTTGCCTACCCCTGGTCTGAAGTGATAGATAGTCTCCTGCTTGAGCAGAGGGTTGGACAAAAGACCTCCCACGGTCCCTTCCAGCTCTATTCTGAATCTAACCCTGAGAACATCTGGGCACGTTTTAAAGCTCCTGCTTCTCAGGCAGAGCAGACAACTTGGATGCTCTTAGCAACCTTATCTGACTTGTTTACATCAGAAAGATTCCCCTTCAGGAAGGTGGAGAGGCAGAAATGAATAACCCACAAGAAGGAATTTGCTCCAGGCTGCCTCCAGTGAAGATGGTCAAGGCCTCTTTTGGGGAGGGGACCAGAGGGGGGGAAGGAAGGAAGGGAGGAAAGTTGCTGTGAGGTCAGGTTATCTCACAAATGTCCCCCTTCTTCCCCCCCCCCACTGACCAAGCCACGGTTTAGTAAGTGGAAAGCAGAAAGGAGGAAGTGTAATCACCCCAACGCCCACTCAGGGATGGAAAAAAAAGTCCCCTGTGGGACACTGAGGCAGGAATGCTAAGTGGAGCAGTTGCTAAGTGACTGCGGTATATATACAGGAATGCAAGAGAAATAAATCTAATCAGAGACATGTGGATAGAGCCAAGGGAGGCGGTTAGCATCTGTTGGTCATTTGGTCAGTGGGGGGGGAGAAGGGGGGGAGCTTATGGGAAGGAGAGGGTGGGTTTAAAAAGATTATCTGAAGGCCTCGCTTAGTCTCAGACCACCAGCCTAGGGGATGTTGCTCCGGAGCCTCGTTCGCACCTTATACTAAACTACAAACCACAGTTTATTTGCAAACCACAGCTCAGGGCAATCTGCAAACCGAGCCATTCCTTAGTTTAGCTTCCTGATTTATTATTTTTTGTGTGACAGAGGCTTCCATTGTGGGAGCCAGAAAACCTTTAAAAGGGGGGGGCACAAAATTGTATCCTTTCTGAAAACCACATCAGGTTTTCATCCAAAAAGGAGATGGGCTCAGGGCCAAAAACTGGATGTGGCCCTTTTTTGTCTTAAAGGATTTCACACTGTTATATTTTTAATTATTTGTATCTATCTATCTATCTATCTATCTATCTATCTATCTATCTATCTATCTATCTATCTATCTATCTATCTATCTATCTA